TTGAACTCACTTTGAAGCCCAGGCTGGTCTTGAACTCAAAACAATCCTCCTGCCTCAGCCTTCCGAGTGCCGGAATTACAGGCATGCGCCACCACGCCTGGCAACAAATACAGAATTCCTTTTTTTTTTTTTTTTTGTACAGGTAATCAAACTTACGACCTCATGCTTGCCAGGCAGGCGCTTGTGCCACTGAGCTATATCCCCAGACTTCACTGTGTTTTTCTGATGTGGAAATTTGCTGCTATAAATTTCCTGCGTAGGACTACTTTCATTGTGTTCCATCTTTTCCGGTATGCTGTATAGGCACTATCAGTTAATTGTAGAAACTATTTTCTTCTTTAATTTAATCTGTGACCAATTGGTTGCTCAGGAGGGTCTCATTTAATTTTCATGTGTTTATGGAGTTCTTTTGCCATTAATTTACAATTTTACTGCACTATGGTATGATAATATGCTTGGGATAACTTCAATTCCTTTGCATTAACTTAAGCACATTCTGTAGGCTAGTATGTGGTCTGTTTTGGAGAACATCCCATGTGCAGCTGAGATGTGTATTCTAATGTGGGGTGGAACACTATAGACATCTACTAAGTCCACTTGTTCAAAAGTTTGGCTCAGTTATAATATTTCATTGTTGATTTTTTTTGTCTAGTTGATCTATTTGTGACAGTGGAGTAGTGAGGCCCCCATTATAATTGCATTAGTGCTTATTTGATTTTTCATGTCCATTAATATTTGTTTTATATAGTTGGGTGCACTGGTGTTTGGTGGACATATATTTATGATTTTTTTTTTGTCTTTTTGAGACAGGGTCTCACTATGCAGTTCAGAATGCCCTTGAACTCACTTTGTAGACCAGGCTCACCCTGAACTCACAGCAATCCATCTGCCTCAGCCTCCCAAGTACTGGGATTATAGGCATGCACCACTATGCCTGGCTTGGTTTGGGTTTTTTTTGAGACTGGATCTCACTATGTAGCCCAGGCTGGCCTCCAACTCATGACAATCCTCCTGCTTCAGCCTCCCTAGTGCTGGGATTACAGGTGTGTGCCACCATGCCCAGCTAATTATATTTATGAATGTTATCTCTATCCCTTTTATATTTTTTATTTTGAGACAAGATCTCACTAAATTGCTAAATTTCCCAGAATGGTTTCACACCTAAGGAGATCCTCCTGCCTCAGCCTCCCAGAGTGCTGGGATTACAGGCATGCATGCATGCTTGCGCCACCACACCCAGCAACAGGTGGTGGCTTTAGGTGGTGGCCAAAGATCAGTTATGACTCCTCAAAGTGGCTTCAAAGACACTGGGCCCCAGCTGGCCAAAAGGGGCCACTACTGGGACCCAAGCGTGGCAGTTTCCATAGCAACCAGTACTGGGTGCAGCTGATGGCCAAGGGAGGGGCTTCCTGAGGTCCTGGCGCACCGTGAACCCCGGGTCCGAGGGCAGCACGGGGGCTGGGAGGAGTCCCTGCCAGCCTGCTAGATGGCACAGCACGGGCTGACACTGACTAGGAGGAGAGAAACGCGGGGGCCTGGGGCACACCCTGCGGAGAGGTGGGCGTTGTGTGTGGCGCAGGTGGGGCCGCGGCTGGGAGTCGGAGACCGGGAGGGAGGCTAATTGGGGGCCCTGGGACTCGGCGCCTTCAAACATCCCAGCCCCGCACAATTAAAGATCCAAGCCTCACAGGAGCCCGGCCCCGCCCGCCGCGCCCGGCCGCCCCGGGCTTGGGGACGTGGGGGGCGGGCGGCCCCGCGGGGCTCCGCACCTGGGGCGAGGGCGGGGCGCGCGGATCGCTGAGTCACGGGGGCTGCGGTCAGAGGCTGCCGGCCCCGACTCCCGGGCTTCGTCCCTGTCACCGCTGACTCACGGGCGCTGGACCGGGACTCCCCGCCGTGCGCAGCCTGCTGCTTTCTTCTCCCTCTCGGCTGTCACGGAAGCCGCGCTCCCGTCTGTAAGCCGGCGTCGGCCGGGGCCGTGCCCCGTCCACCACCCCAGAGCAGCGCGAGGACCCCGGCCGCCTCCCCCTCCTGAAAGGATGCGTCAACCAGGAGCAATGCAGGAGGGAAGGGGGTTCAGCCCGGGTCCTCTCCGCCCGGCGACAATTAGAGCCACAGTTAAGGCCCCTGTGTTGTTTTCTGCAAAGACAGGATGATTTCCTGTTATAGGAAGGCACCTAGCCGTGAGCCTGGCCCATACCTAGCAGACGCTCCTAAAAGGTTTGCTGACTGACTCTGGGAGGGCTGCAAAGGACGGCCTCCTCCGTCAGACCAGAGGGTCAGCACGGATCCTGTGGCCTCTGTATGCTGTCCTTGTACTGGCCTGGGACAGCCTGGGGAAGACAAGGACCTGCGGGGAGTTGGGGAGCAAGATGGAGTGTGGGGGCAGGTGAAGGGCCCTCTGCAATAAGGCCGCTGTCTTGTTTCATTTTTCCTGAGACAAGGTCTCACTATGCAGTCCAGGCTGACCTCCAACTCCTGGCGATCCTCCTGCCTCAGCCTCCTGAGTGCTGGATTATAGGTGTGCACCACCACACCGGGCCACCCCCTTTTCGCACAGCCCTCCTCCCAGGCCCTGTCCCCCTCCCAGAAGTGGACCTGGGCCCTGAGACTCCAGCCAGGAGGCAGCAGGGTGGCCTTTCTGCCTTCCCTGGAGGTACCTCGATGTCCTCGTTCTGTGGGAGCACAGCCCAGGGACAGCACCTGCTCTGCCAGTCTGGGTGGCCAGGCCGCTGGGGTGAGGGCCAGGACTATGGCCTCTGGATACAGGCCTGGAAGGACCTCAGTGGCCACACAGGTCTGGCCCCGGGGCCTTCCCCTTTTTTCACAGAGCACCTGGCGACCAGGACGGGGCTGGCTGTCACTTTTTGCAGGTGAGGAAACAGGTGCAGAGGTGACCTCTCTTGCCTAATGTTTTCGGCTGCTAGGAACGGAGTGTGTCCCACCCCAGGGCACTGGGTCCTGTCCCAGGAGAGACTCAAAGGTGCTACCTTGTCCTGCCCTGGAGCTTGGAGGAAGCACATTTTACGTTTTGTGACATCCTTTCTTGGGCCCTTTACTTTGTGAAATTTTATAATTATGGTGTTATCACTGTTTAAAAAAGATCTGTAGTCAGGAGGCTGAGGCCAGGTGTGGTGGTGCACGCCTGTAATCCCAGCACTTGGGAGGCTGAGGCAGGATGATCTTTGCAAGTTCAAGACCAGCCTGAGCTACAAAGTGAGCTCAAGTCCAGCCTGAACTGCATAGTGAGACCCTGTTTCAAAAAGACAAAAAGAAAGGAGGCTGAGACAGGAGAGTCGCTGGGAGTTTGAGGCCAGCCTGGGTTACCACAGGGAGACTTTGTCTCAAAAAAGAAAAAGCAAACAACAAGATATAGGCTCTTATTATTATTATTATTATTTTGCGGTACTGGGGATCAAACTCAGGACCTTGCGCTTGCCAGGCAGGTGCTTATGCCACTGAGCTATATCCCCAGCCCTGATATAGGCTCTTAACCTATCTGTGAGGGCTGGGAAACTTGTGTGCTGAGCTCTTAATAAATTCTGAAAAAAAAAAAATAAATAAAGTTTTGTGTTTTCGAATAGATCCTTTATGTGCATTCAGAGTAGCTCTTGTGGTTTCTTTAATTTTACTGTTTTATTGATTTACTGGTTTTGCATCACCGTGCCTGACTTCCAGCACCCTCTCTTAGCAGCCCTGAGCCTGGGCTTCCTCCTTCGTGCCCTGAGGACGGTGTCTCTCTCCATCTCAGAGGCAAGGAGATCGGGGTGCAGATGCCGGGAGGAGGACGGGAGGTGAGCACACCAGCAGCCACCTCCAGTACCGCAGCCCCAGCTCTGCGCCTCCACTTCCTCCTTCGTTAACCAGGCACGTGCGCCCCACTTCCCACGGGAGGCTGACCCGAGAGGAGGCGAGGACTGAGAGCCTCCCTTCCTAGGAAGGGAGGATGTGAGGTTCCTGGCCAGCAGGTGGGAGCCAGGACTCCCCAGAGCTGCCTCCCAGCCTGAGCCACACCCTGAGCTTGGCCTGGGGATCCCGAGGAAAGGAGCACAGACAAAGCCCCCTGGGACCCTGAGCCAGGCTGCTCATTTCTAAGCCCAGTGCCCACGTTGGATGTTGGGCAGCAGCCCCATCAGAGGCCATGGGTGTCTCCCTGCTCTGAGCAGGTGCAGCTCCTGTGGCTGTCACCCACCCATGTCTCCTGGGTGCAGAAAACCTAAAAGCTAAGTGAGCCCATTTGTCCCCACCACGCACAACATTTCGGTCCTCCTACAGTCAACCTGTGTTAGCCACAGGCTGTGGTGCACAGCTCTAATCCCACTTCTTTAGGAGGCTGAGGCAGGAGGATCACAAATTCTAGTCTAGTCCGGGCAACATAGCAATTGAAGGAGACGCTGTCTCAAAATAAAAAAAATAAAAAGGTCTGGGGATGGAGCTCCGTGGGAAGGCCCTGGGTTCAATCACTGGAAAAAAGAAAAAGAAAAAAGAAAAAAGAGCTGGAGGTAGGGTTTGTGTAGGGGGCAGGGACGGCTGAGCTGATCTGGTGGGAGGGGTGTTTGGATCAAAACCAGCCTGGGTAACACAGTCCTATAAGTATTAACTTGCACAGTACGTGCTGGCAAGCAGACAACAAAGCAAGTACCACCTGGGGACTCGGACCGTGGTGAGAACGGCGGCCGCGGAGGGGCAGGGCTGGGAGGCTGGGAGGACCCGGCGCCGGAGACATTTCCGTCTCCCAGGTGGAGGCCCCGGAGAGGAGCGGAGTGTGCAGGTGGGGGCAGGTGGCCGGGTAGGCGGGCGGGCGGGCGCCGACTGTCTCTGGGCATCTTCACGCGCCGGCCCATCTCCTGGCTCCTGGCTCCCACCGGCTGGCTGGGCCGGGTGGGGGGCGGGGGCGGTGTCTCGGTCACTTCCGTGGAAAGTCCTGGGCCGCGCTCCCCTGCCCCGGCCGGCCCCCGCTGGCCGCGGGCGGAGTTCCAGCGCAGGCACCGCGGAAGCGCGGAGGAGGGGCGCGGGGCGGGGGAGGGGCGCCAGCCATCTGTGCCCGGGTGGAAACTGTAGGTAAGGGGCGCCTGGGACGGGCTGTCTGGCCTGGGCCAACCCGGGCTTCTCGCCGGGCCTCAGTTTACCACTGGCATCCAGGCCAGAGGCTGAGATGAGGTGACAGGTAGGACGGGCCTCCTGCGCAGCAGGTGGGCGCTATCTCTCCAGTGGATCAGCCCCGCCGGCCATCGCGGGCTTCCCGGGCGCCTCTGGAAGGAAAGTCCCGGGAGGAAGGCGTGGCCGCAGAAACTGTCCCTGTTTGCGGCCCGTGGGCGGGGCAGGTGTGAAGCGCGCTGGAGAGCAGGTGGGCGCCGCCTCTCGCTGCCGTCATCAAACACCCCCTGCGCACCTACTGTGCGAGCCTGTGGGCTGCAGTTAGGTAAGACCTGCCCTGTTCCCCGGGAGCCCCAGGCCGGCCGGGAGACACAGGTGTGTGTGTGTCACCTTCCCCACCGGGAACACACTGACCATGTTCAGCAGGTGGCCCCCTGTGTCTCCCATGTGCCCCGCGCTCACCGAGCGCGCAGGTCAACGCGGATGGGCGCCGCCGGAGATTCCCCCTGGGTAAGCTCAGGGAGCTTCTGGGTCAGAGTCAGACACACAGAAGCTAGGTGTGGCTTCGCAGCGCTGTGATCACAGTACTCTGGGAGGCTGAGGCAGGAGGATGGCAAGTTTGAGGCCATTTGGGCAACTTAATGACTTAGCAAGATCCTGACTCAAAAAAAAAAATACATTGGACGTACAGTCACCCCAGGGCTCGGTAGCAGTGGGGTTTAGGGACACCAGAGAGCCTGGTCCTGAGTCACAGGGCTCCAGATCCCTCACCCTGAGCCACCCCTTCCTGATCCTGGATCCCTGATGGTTTCTGCCTCCTGCCCATGTCCCCAAGCTGCCTTGGGAGGTGTGTGGACTCCCCTCAGCCTGCCACCCGATGCCTTTGCTCACCTCCGCCCTCCATGCCCAGGTCAGGGCTGGGGACCTTTGAGGCAGACACCTGTGACCCTTTCACTCCGGCCCCTCCCCCGCAGGCCCAGTCTCTGGCCCACCTGGATTCCTGTCCTCCAGAAAGAGCTGTGCCCACCCCACCCCGCTCAGCGGGGCCTGATCCCTAGTCTGCTTGCTTGTTGCCCACTGTACCAAAGAGAATTCAGCGCCCCCTGGAGTTGTGCTCAGCACACAGCACCCCTTCACTGTCCAGCGCCCACTGCACCCCACAGCCGTCCAACCTGAGCTCTTTTCGCCTTTGAAGTCTCACGAAACTCCGCACCTGGCCTGGCCTGCACCTGGCCTGGCTCTATCGGATGTCTCGGTGTTTGTGGCATAAACACACTTACTTACTGGGCGGTGATGCCCGGGGGCCTGGCCCCTGCTTGCTGTCCCCACCCAGTTCTGGCCGAGCAGGTTCAGGCTCTGTCTCTTCTGCTCTGGCCCCAAAGAGCAGCACCCCTCAGCCCATCTCCCCTCACTGAGCTGCGGATGCTGAGTGAGCAGAATGGGGGGGACAGACAGTAAGTGCTGGACCCAGGAGCTCCTCATCTCCCCAAACCTCCTCTGGCCAATGTTGGGAAAATTGCTGGCGAGGTCAAATGTATAGATGATGATAGTAAAAATAATAATAATAATAATAACAGTGCTAATGTCCTGTGACAGAAGTGATAGCGACCGAAAGTGATAAGGTCATCACAGTGGAATTTCTCTTTGACACTCCCAGGACTTCCCCTCAGATTGTGTTACTCCCCCACCCCCAGGGTCCCGCCCGTTCCTCCTGCCCAAGACAGGATAGATGTGGCCCTGGGCTGCGAGGACCCTGGTCTGGTCTTCGGGTCCCGCGGTTGGCAGGGCCTGGCCGCCACCCCTCCTTATCTGCCCCTGAGAACATCAGGTGCCCTGGGCCTGTGACTCAGTGTCTGTCTCCTGGCTGAGCTCAGCTTGGGCACGGGGACAGGGGAGAGGGCAGTTTCTTCTGAGACCGGTGGTGACTCAGGGGCCTGGGGCTGGGGCCTTTGTACCTTTCTTTGTTGGCCACGGCTCAGGAATCCAGCGAAACTGGTCACGGGGAGGCCCTGGGGGATCCGGTCCCTCCTCTGTCCCCGCCCCTCCTCCTGAGCTGTATAACTGCACCTGTACCCTGGTTGCCGGGTGGCAGCTGGTGGCAGCGGCGGGAAGGAACTGGTTGGGTCACACCTGCTGAGGGCGGCAGGCGGCGGCGGTTGGCTTTGTCTCTCCGGGGGCCTCTTCGGGAAAAGTTTCCCTTCCCCAGGCGGACTCCAACGTCTCCCTAGGACCCCGACAGCCCTCCGAGCCGGATCCCGGTTGACTCCTCCGCGCCATGGCTTCTATGGGGCTGCAGGTGCTGGGCATCTCGCTGGCCGTGCTGGGCTGGCTGGGCACCATCCTCTGCTGCGCGCTGCCCATGTGGCGCGTGTCGGCCTTCATCGGCAGCAACATCGTCACGGCGCAGACCAGCTGGGAGGGCCTGTGGATGAACTGCGTGGTGCAGAGCACCGGCCAGATGCAATGCAAGGTGCACGACTCGCTGCTGGCGCTGCCGCAGGACCTGCAGGCGGCCCGCGCGCTCATGGTCGTCGGCATCATCGTGGCGGCGCTGGGCATGCTGCTGTCCGTGGTCGGGGGCAAGTGCACCAACTGCTTGGAGGACGAGACCGCCAAGGCCAAGACCATGATCGTGGCGGGCGTGGTGTTCCTGCTGGCCGGCCTGCTGGTGATGGTGCCCGTGTCCTGGACGGCCAACAACATCATCCGGGACTTCTACAACCCGCTGGTGGCTTCCGGGCAGAAGCGGGAGATGGGGGCGTCGCTCTACATCGGCTGGGCGGCCTCGGGGCTGCTGCTGCTCGGCGGGGCGCTCCTGTGCTGCAGCTGCCCGCCCCGCAGCGACAAGCCCTACTCCGCCAAGTACTCGGCGGCCCGCTCCGCCGCGACCAGCAACTATGTGTAGGAGACGCCAGGCCACGCCCTCCCTTTGGGCTTTGTTTTTCCTTGGACTGAACTCCGCCCATGCGGCCAGGGACCCCGGGATGGCCCCGCCACAGACTTCTGGCTGCTGGCACCTGGGCCAGCAGGGACGGGGCAGCCCTTGGCCCCCTCTGGCCTCTGATCACCCCGCCACGGCCTCTCTTCTCCATGGCCAGGATGGACAGACGGAGACTCCCGAGCCACCCGCTCCGCATGGCCAGCGGGATCGACACAATGTGGCGGAGGTGTGGGGAGCTGGCTCCTGCCGGCCAGGACAGCTCAGCCCTGACCTCAGGCCGCCCACACCGGTGTTGCCCACGGTCCCTTTCTGCCTCCATCCCTCTGTCGCTCCGGTTCTTTTCTTGCCACTTCTCCCACGTTCCTGGGTGCCCCAGGCCCTGGTGTGATGGACGGCGGATGGCAGGTGACCGGGTGGATCTGTGATCACATGGAAATCTGCCAGTGTGGAAACCTGTACCACCTGTGAGAGCGCCGGGCCACCCACCTGCCTCTGGAATGGCGCTCGGACTGGCTGGACGGGTTTGTGGGAGGGGTGAAGGCAGAAGAAACAGGTTTGGGTAGCGCCCAGGGAGGGGGCCTGGCATTGGCCAGCCTCGGGGAGGGTCCCGGGACTTCCTCCGCCGGCCCTGTCTGGTTTCTGTTTTTGTAATTTAAGATGCTCTGTTCATCACTGTAATTATTATTATTTTCTACAATAAATGAAGCTGTGCACGTGAGGCTGCGTGTTGTCTCTGAATCCGGCCGTGGAGGTGGGGGCTGGGGCTGAGGGCAGCGCAGGGTCAGCGAGAGTGAGGCCAGGGCCGCTGTGACCAGCAGGTCGGAGCATGGTTTAGGGGAACTGATAATCTTTTTTTTTTTTTTTTTTGGTTTTTCTCCGGTACCGGGAACCGAACTCACGACCTTGCGCTTGCCAGGCAGGCGCTTTGCCGCTGAGCTAAATCCCCAGCCCCGGGAACTGATAATCGACTTCTGAAAAGACCTCCTCCGTCCACACCCTCTAGGTGTGGGAAGGGAGACCCGGAGCCAGGACCCCAGGAAGGACAGACGGGGAGACCCAAGGCCCCCAAGGCCAGTGGGTGCCCGCCTCCTCCCCCGCTGTGCCCCAGCTTTGTCTGAGCCGTGAGGCGTCCCAACCCTCAGCCTGGAATGTCCTCTTTCTTTCTCCACCCTCTGGATCCTGCTGGTCCTGAAGGCCCGGCTCTGGCCGCCTCCCTCACAAACCCTTCCCATGGCCCCATGGAGGAGTTGTCATTGGCCCTGATCCCTGATCTTGTCCCAAGATAGTGACAGTCACCAAAGCCCTCCCGTTCCAGCTCGGGCAGCCCAAGCCACGGCCTGGGTTGGGATGAGGCCTGAGGTGCAGCCTGCGACCCAAGCTCTGCAGCCAGGGCGTCCCTACCTGGGTGTGTGCATCGAGGGCTTCCTCAGATGTGGCCCAGCCTCAGTGTCCCCAAGGAGAGTCAGAGGTGAGGGGGTCAGCAGCTGGCAGAAGTGGCGATGCCACCCCTGTGGCCCTGGGCTCCTATGCACCTGTCTCCTAGCTTCTTGAACCCACAGGCCACCGTGGAATTAACACATTTTTCTTTTGTAATGGAGTCGAGCCATTTCCTCTCCTTAATTTTTTTTAAAGATACAGCCTTAGCTGATCACTAGTTAAATATTTATTTATCTATTTATTTTTTTTGTGATACTGGGGATCGCACTAGGGACACTAAGCTACATCCCCAGCCCTTTAAAACTTTTTTTAAAATTCTGAGACAAGGTTTCACTAAGTCACTAAAGTTGCCCTGGCTGGGCTTGAACTTGTGACCCTCCTGCCTCAGCCTGCCAGAGTGTTGGGATGACAGGTGTGCATCATCACAGCCTGCTTTTATTTCATTTCATTTCATTTCATTTTTTGCAGTGCTAGGGGTCAAACCCAGAGCCTCCAACTTGACTCTCTACCACAGAACTTTATCCCAAGCCCCATCGTTAAAATGTAAAAAAATCAAAGAGCTCATTCTTTCTTTTGAAACCCAAGGGAAACAGAATCCATTGCTCTAGCTTTACTACAGCTAACACTTCTGATGTATGCTCACCTGGTAACCGCTGTTTTAAGTGTGTGTGTGTGTGTGTGTTCAGGTGTTTGGAGATAGCCTTGTCTGACTCCAATAGGTTCCTGAGCCCTTCCCTCAGGCCGCCCCAGTGTGGGATAATCGGCCCTCTGATGTCACAGGGGCTCACAGCAGGAAAAAGGAAGATGTTTTCAGAACTGGAAGAGCCACGGTTTGTTCAGACGGGGACCGCTGAGCATTCTCCTCCCTCCTTCTGCTCACTATCCCCACACAAGAAACCACCCACTTCCCCTCTGTTCCCTTCCTTCCTCCCTTCTTCCCTTCCTTCCTCCCTCCCTCCCTCCCTTCCTTCGTTACTGGGAATTGAACCCAGGGCCTTCACACTGAGCTGCATCCCCAGCCCTTTGTAAATTTTTATTTTGAGACAGGGTCTCACTCAGTTGCCCAGGTTGGGCCTGAACTTGTGATCCTCCTGCCTCAGCCTCTCAGAGGACTGTGATTACAGGCGTGCACCACCACCCCTGTCTAGAGAGCCCCTGGTTTCTTCCTCCCACAAGTATCTGTAGACCTGGCCCTCAGGGAGGCGGACCGGACACCAGCAGCTCTACCTCTGTATATACAATTGCCTGTAAACAACTCTTGCAAAACTCACGGCTTCAGTTCAGGTGCACTGGGTGGAGAAATGAGCCTGGTTTGGTAACGCAAGAACCCATGACCCTCTTTTCCGGAGCCACAGAACTACAGACTCATGAGTCCTTTCATCCCTGCTGGTGTTTCCTTTAATAGGCCGCACATTCCAGACGGGCAGTGTTGGGGCGTGGGAGGTCACAGCCGGCTGGGGGGCTGGGGACCAGCCCTCACCCCCTCTTCCGGTATAGGTAGATGATGCCGGAGATGAAGCCATCCTCGGCACAGGTGCTGGGCACCGCCTCGAGGGTGGAGGTAGCCAGTTCCCAGCGGTCCACAGGTTGGGCCACCAGGCGCTCCCACATCCCACCCCGCTCCAGCTGGTCCAAGGTGGTCTCCAGAGTCTCCTTGTAGGGAAGGTTGGACGGGTTGGTCCTGGTGGTCAGACATACCAGCCCACCTAGGCGGGGTTGAGGGGAGGTAGTGACTGGGGAGGCACCGGGGCCACAGTCCCAGGCCTGTCCCTTCCCGCCTGACTTCAAGGCTGTGGACGCCTCCGGCTGTCCCAGGTCAGTTTCTCTGACCTCCCCCTCGGCCAGGAACACACTGCTTTCCTCATCTGTACGGACTCCTAAGCACCCTTCAAAGCCCAAGTGTCCTTGACCCTAGGAAGTCTTGACCCAGTGCTGGCTGGTGGCCTCTGTCACTGCTCACCACGCTCCTCTGTGGAGGACGTAACTGGGTCAGGATACACAGGAAAGAAGCACCTGGGCCTTGGAAGTGGCTGTGCTTCTCTGAGCCTGTTTCCCAGCAGGGCATAGAGTGGAGGATTATTCTGTCCCACAGGAAGCCCAGAGCTTTGCATATATACGTGCGAAACGCCCAGGACAGTCACTAAGTACTGGCTGAAGCGGGGAAGGATTGCCTCCTCTGTCCGGGCAACTACAGTGTGCCCAGCGCGGCCTCGGTGGGAGGGAAGCGGGCACCGCACAGCCATGTCGGGGCAGGGTTCCTGGGGGAGGGGCAGAGCGCCGCTTGGGGGAAGCGAAGCTTGCAGCAGGGGTCCTGCGCCTCAGGGTGCGTGGACGGGGCCCTGCCATCCAGGCCAGGCTAGCAGGGCTGGTCCCTGCAAGTTCACATGGGAACCTCATCTTCTTAACCCAACCCCGTGTCTCCTGGGTGACCCCAGAGTCTGGAACTGCCAGCAGCCCCAGCCTGCCCAGACCTGCCCAGGCCCGGGCCCAGGCCCTGCTCGGCCTGCTGCAGGGATAAGGAACGAGGGGGGGGTGCGTGTGGACAGGAAGCGTTTCTGCCTCCTGACTTCCTGACCGTGGCCTGCCGCAGGCCAGGGCCTCACCGTTGGCACGCCACCCTCCTCGTGACTGGCTGTTCGCATGCGAAAGTCCCCCTGGGGCTCCCCAAAGCCCGGCCTCTCCGCTGTCCAGCACGGAGTCCTCACGGACTTAGGGGGTCGCCGCTGGCCTGGCCCTGTGCTCGCTGGGGCCTTTCCGGCCTCAGTGGGCTGGAAGCGGGGGCTCAGAGGGCAGGGTCCATGCCTTCTGCACAGAGCAGAGCAGAGCAGAGCGGCACACAGTAGGACCACAGCGAGCACAGCACCTGCTCGGGTGCAGAATTGCAGAGAGCGACCACATCCTCAACTCACTGGGCAGCCCCAGTCCCCAGATGCGGAACTGAGAACAGGAAGGAGACTCCTCCAACCACAGCCTTGAGTTAGCGAGGAAACGGGAGGACAAGGGGACGGAACTGAGCCTGTCCTGCGTGCCAGCACGGAAGCAAAGGCCTTCGGGTCTGACCTCCCCCACTGGCTCTGCCACGCTGTCGGGGCAGGGATATGGGCGGGGAGGGGCTTCCCCATCTGCTGATGGGCAGGGAAGCGGGGGAGCGGGAGGGCAGCTGCCCATGGACCAGGTGAGCCTGGTGCCTGTCTGCCCTACCTGTGCCACTGCACCTGTGGCGGCAGCTGGTGGCCGGGATGCTGCGCTAGGCTGGGCCAGCCCGAGCAGGACCCTGGGCCTCATGTGGCCTGGGTGTGAGGTGTGGAGAGGGGGAAGTGTCCCTGGAGGGCCGGGATGCGCCTTACCTGGCTTGCTGACTCGAAGGAGCTCTGGAACGGCCGAGCACGGCACCTGGCCGTCACTGAGGGCCCCCACCATCAGCACAGCGTCGAAGGTCCCTGTGGCAGGGAGGGGGCGTCGGGCGGTGCTTGGTCTACAGGGTGGCCTCAGATCACTTCAGGGGCCGTGCCCCATGGCGGGGCTGCCACCTGCGTCTCAGGGCCCGGGTCCAGGCGCTAGGGGCCAGTCCTGGGCTGACGGCAGACCCTGCCGCAGGGCTCGCTGGCGGGCTCACGGGGCGCTCAGCAGCGTGGATGGGGTTCAGCGACACGGGAAGGGCTCCCTTCTCGGAAGGCGGGTGTGGGGCAGGCCCTGGGGTATCGGGGGAGGGGAAATACCTTCAGGGCTAGGGAGAGGCTCCCGGCCCAGGGTGCAGAGGCTGAGCCGCTGGTAGAGGCCCCGGGCCCGGGCCTGTTCCAGCATCTCTGGGCTTCCGTCCACTCCGTGCAGCTGCAGGAAGCCCCGAGCCTGCAGCTGGGGTGGGGGGGACTGGGTCACAGCTCAGGCCCGGCCCTTCCCGGCAGGGTCCCCCGCGGCCTGGGAGGACAGAGGCCCCGCAGGGCATGTGATTGGCACCAAGGGGTCTGAGAGGGGAGGCAGAGTTCTGGGCCCAGGAAATTTGAGCAGTGGGGCTTTGAGGAGATGACGGGGAGCTGAGAGGCCTCACCTCGACAGCCACCAGGCCGGTACCACACGCCACGTCCAGGATCAGGGCGGTGGGGGGCAGGCGTGGAAGGGCTTGGGTGAGACAGTCCACGGCGAGGCTGGGTGCGCGGTACTGCAGGGCAGCCACGTCCTGCGGACAGGGTGCTGAGCCTACCACCACCAGTGCCCCAGGGCGCGGGTGCTTTGTGCGTGGGGGGCCACGATGCTGCCAGGCTATGGGGTGTGTGCGGGGACACAGTGAGAGGAGGCCCGGGCATGTGGAGTCCTCCGCCTCTCGGGGACCTGGCCCCTTGGTCTGGAGTCAGCCTGCAGTGGCACCTCCTCCAGGCAGACACTGTGTCTGAGATGCCTTCGCAGGGGGTTGCCGGTCCGCACCTGGCAGGGCCACTGTGAGCAGCAGCGAGGGTCCTGTCCTCTCGGGAAGGTGCAGAACTGCAAGATTCTCACCCAGGTCTGGCTTCCATCCGCACCGCGCCAGGGGTGCCAGGCCAATCGTTCCCACTTCGCAGATAGAGAAATCAAGGCCAGGCAAGCGGAGGCGAGGGCGCCGGTGAGCTTACCTGGTCATAGTCGGGGGCCCAGCGGTCATAGAACTGGAGTTTTTGGCCTAGGTCTGTGATGCCGTGCAAAGCCCCGACGCGCTCCAGCACCTCGGGCAGACTTCCACCCTCCTCCTGAGCCATCCCCCTGTGGGGACACCGCCTCCCTGTCCCCAGGCCCACATCAGCCTCCCGTTCTCCACCGCCTGCCCAGTTCCCGGGCAGGGACCCCGAGCGCAGACAAGTGGGTTCAGACCTCCGACCCCGCAGGGCAAAGGTCTGGCGGGGGCTGGGCAGGAGTGGGCAGGGAGGGCCTGGCTGTCACTCCGCGGTCCGATCGGGGGTGGGGTGGCATCCAGAGATGAAGGGTCTCTCAGGGGACAGAGGATCAGGACTCACCGCGGATCTAACACCAGGGGTCTGGGGGCTCCAGAACTCAGGGCGGGGCCTCGCAGCGAGCCTGGCCACGTCCCTGACGCCCTCGATGATGATTTGTTTTGGTTAAGACAAAATACCCAATCAAACCAATCACTGACACCACGCCCCTAGTACCAGCCAATCAGCTCAAGGCTCTTGTCCCTCCTCCAGTCTGGGAAGAATCAAGACTCTCTGAGGTTTATTTACCACCACCACGGCGCATGGGAATGACGCTGAACGTGGGCAGCTGTTGAGCGCTTGAAATGGGGCTATTGGGTCTGAGGAACTGAATTTTACCCAATTTTTTCCATTACTGGGAAGTGAACCTAGGGGCTTTGCACTGAGCTGCATTCCCAATTTTTAAAAAATTTAAAAATACATTTTTTGAGATAGGGTCTCATTAAATCGCTAAATTGTCATTCCTGTTACTGGATTTGAACCCAGGGCCTTCCCATTGAGCTACATCCCGAACTTTTTTTAATTTTGAGACAAGATGTCCCTCAGCTGCTAAGGTACCCTGGCTTGGCTCAAATGTGCGATCCTCCTGCCTTAGCCTCGCAGAGTGCTATACTACAGGTGTGCCCCACCACACCCTGACCCAAGACTCTCTTTAATGCCAACCAGAGCTCGAGCTCAGGAGGGAGGCTGCACTGGGCACAGGCTGAGCATAACTTCCTGGGCATAACTGAACTGGTAGGCCGGGCGTGGTGGAGCATGCCTGTAATCCTTGTAATCCCAGCACTCGGGAGGCTGAGGCAGGAGGATCACTGCGAGTTTGAGGCCAGCCTGGGCTACAAAGTGATTTCAAGGCCAGCCTGAACTGCAGATGAGACCTTATCTCAAAAACAAAAAAAAAACCCAAAACCCAAAACTGCGGGAATGGCAAAGGTGAGATTGCAGAGAGAGGTGGGCACACCCGAGGGACGGGATGCTCCACCCGGGGGCAGGTGGAGGACGAGAGGCTGGCACAGCAGGGAGCCGGAGAGAGGGGGAGGGTGTCAGAACAGCTGATAAAAAAGACGGGCGGCCAGCACTGCCTAGCGTTGCAGAGGGGGTGAAAAGTGAGAGCCGAGACCTCTGCCCTGGCCTGGGGCCTCGGAGGTCTTCCCGGCAGGTGGGTGCGGCTGTGCGGTAACACCTGGCCGGCGCAGGTGCAGGGCCGTGGGGCACTCCCCCTCCGGACTTGGGCCGCAAACCCCTCCTGTCTGATGCTGGAGAGGAGCCTGTGTGTGCAGCGCAGAGATGGCCGATTTTCTCCAGCACAACAGCCAGTCGCATTTAGTTTGATTAATGCCTTGACCTCTTCTTCCTTCCCTCCTTCCCTCCATCCCTCCTGCCTTCCTTCCTTCTTCCTCCCTAGCCCCTCCTCTTTCCCTTCTTTCCTTTCTTTCCTCCTGGGAATCAAACCAACACCCTGGGGCCAGGGCCTCGCGGTGCCGGCAACCCGCTTCTGCCAAGCTATGCGCCCAGCGCCCCAAAGTGATGTGGACCCGAGCCGCTGGGGTAGAGGCTGCAGTCTCCACCATAGTGCGGAAACCCCGATTTCCAGGGCCGCCAGCTGAGAGCCGCACCCAGCCTGCCCTGGGCCCGAGGCGGAAGAGGGTGCACAGTGAACCCCCAAATGCCCCTGTAAATAGCCGGACACCTGCCCGGCAGGGCTGCAGCAGGAGCTGCCCTTCCTGACCGGAAGTGGGGAGACGACGGACAGGAAGACGCGTCGGCTGACTCCCGTCCCTGACAAGAACGTGGGAGCCCCAGCCCGGGCCTCCTGCATCATCCTGGAGGCCACAGGCCACAGGCCACGCTCCTCCAGTGGCTGGACTGCAGTCAGCTGCCCCTGGGGTCAGTGGCTGCTCTTGGGCAGAGCACCCACTGGCGGTCCCGACGCGGCTCCCCAGAGACGGTTCTTGCGCTCTGTGGGCGACGCTGGAGGGAGCCGGAGTTTCTGGCCGCTGCGCTGCTCCTCGGGGCGGACCCCAACAGCGTCTCCCCGCTGGGGTCAGTGCTTGTCCTAGCAGGAGGCTGTGCTGGGCCTGGGGCTGGGCTTGCCCTGGCGCTCAGACCTCCTGCTATTTTCCTCTCCTTTAGTCCCCTCCAGCCCGAAGCTCTAGGAACCCCACAGCCTTCTGCGCTTTTTGTTGAAGGTGCCAGGGGCTGGCTGGCCGGCCGGGCAGGGGGGAGAGCTGCGAAATCAAAAATGCAGCAGTTTAGGGGGTGCTGAATCCACCTGTTTGTGTCCGGTCACTGTTAGCTGATCGCTCAGGTGCTGCCGTGTGCTGCCGCAGGGAGTGAGTGCAGGTGGCAGCAGGGGCCAGACACAGAGGTGCGCGGGGCGGGGTGGCTGTGTGCGCGGGGATGTGGGCGTCCGCGGAGACCCTCTGAACGCCTGCATCAGAAAAGCCAGCTCCAAGGGGCTGGGGATTTAGCTCAGCGGCACAGCGCGTGCCTGGCAAGCGTGAGGTCGTGAGTTCGATTCCCGGTACTGGAAAAACCAAAAAACAAACAAACAACAAGAAAACAAAGAAAAGCCAGCTCCAAGGGGCTGTCGTGCAGGGCCCAGCGCAGTTTCCAGGGACAGCAGGTGGCGGTGGTGGTGGTGGGGAGCACGGAGTCCCCAGGGCCCAAGGCTCTGCTCTCTCCTCTGCCTTGCTGAGTCACAGGAGGTGACCCGCCTCATTCCCTTTGGCCTGACCTACGAAGCCCCAAGTCGGGCTGGGTGAGGCTGGGTCTCACTGTGTCGACCAGGCTGGCCTGGAACTCGTGGTAACTCTCCTGCCTCAGCCTCCTGAGGGCTGAGATTACAGCGTGGGCCACCTTGTGCTGCAGAATCTGTAGTTTTTATACTCAAGCTAAATGCTGAGCTGCACTCGAATTCACATTCCCAGCAAGGTGTCGCCTGAGCACACACACGCTCCACACAGCGTTAGGGACGCGGCTCCTGCAGCCCGGCTTCCCCTTCCTCGAGTTCCGGTTCACTCTTTCCTGCATCGCCTCTACCCGGCGCCCTGTCCAGCGGCTCCCCGTTCACACGCTGCGCATCTGTGTGACGGCTCCGGCCGCATCTCGCCCTTTTGCAGAGCTCCGATGGCTCGGCCTGGGAGCCTTCGTCTGACCTCTGGGCGCCGTTCAGAGCGAGACTGGGGTCTTTTTTCTTTCCTCGCCTACCAGCTAGCTTTGCGAGGAACGTAATTCTCCATCTCCCCGTCCCTTTTGGCTCCGAACATTTCTTGGGAAATTCCGCAAAACTGACGCGGAGTCTGGGTGTCTCTTCTGCTCGCTTCCTGAGCAAGGCTTCGAGGACATTTTGCCCCCGGCTTGTTGGGGTCCTTTCTCCCCATGGCGACTGCCCGGGGGAAGCTGGGCGCTCCGCTCCGGGGGGCTGGGGCGGGGCTGGGCCCGCGAGAGCGCCCCGCCCTTTCCCGGCACACGGGGTTTCTCAGCCAGGTCCCCGAGCCCGGCAGCGCCGGCCCAGCCTGCCCCGGGGCCGCACGGGGTGTGCAGCAAGGGGTGCTGCAGCGGGGCTCCGGCCAGGCGGGAGGGAAACTGTCCCGCCAGTGAGAAGCGGAGCGACAGAAACCAGGCGAGCGCCCCGCGCACAGTCACGGTGAGGGTTTCTTTGGTGAATGCAGCTCACGTGTTTAGTGGGCCCTCTTCTTCAAAAGATTTCCTTCCTTCTTTCCTCCCTCCCTTTCCTTTTTTGCTGCCCTAGGCCTTGAACCCAGAGCCTTCACACTGAGCCACATCCCCAGGCCTTATTTTGAGACAGGGTCCCGCTAAGTCACTAAGTCACCCAGGCTGAGCTTGAACTAGTGACTCTCCTGCCTCAGCCTCCGGAGTGCTGAGATTCCGGGCCGGTACCACCTCCTCTGGCTGACTGGATAATTTCGTACCTGGAGGCCCTGGCTGCCGGGCAGCGTCTGGACTGTGCCAGGCTCTCGCTGTCCCAAAGACCCCTCGGTGTACCTTCCGTGTTTACAGATGTGGCGCTACGGTGTCTGAGCGCGTTTTGATCCGCATTCCACCTCGCTTACTAATCTTATGCGGTCGGCCGCGGTTTCCTGAGCTTGTTGGCCCCCTGGTTTCCTTCCCTGTGAACTACATTTGGCCTTGTGTTCCACTGGATCCCTTGATTTTTTTCTTTTTATGTTTTTAATGGGCAAGAGAAGCCCGTGTACACCTAGGTGTGCAGGTTGATGCGTGTGGATTTGCACCCTGAGGAGCGGCTGAAGCCAGCTGTCAGACCGCTCACTGCTTGTATTTACTTATCTGAGGTAAGAACACTTAAAATCTACTCTTCTAGCAATTTTCTTTCTTTCTCTTTCTGGTTTTGTTTTTTTGACACAGGGTCTCACTATGTAATTCAGGCGGATCTTGAGCTCACGGTGTAGCCTAGGTTGGCATTTAACTCACAGTGATCTTCCTGCCTCAGCCTCCCAAGTGCTGGGACTACAGACATGTGCCACTATGCCTGGCCACTAAAGCCATCTTTAGCAAAAACAAACAGGCTGGGCGTGGTGGCTCACGCCTGTAATCCCAGCACTCAGGAGGCTGAGGCAGGAGGATCGTTGTGAGTTCGAGCCCAGCCTGGGCCACAAAGTGAGCTCAAGGCCAGCCTGAACTGCATAACAAAACCCTGTCTCAAAAAACAAACGAACAAAAACCCCCCAAAAACCCCCAAAAACATACTCCTTTAAGTTTAAAGGCATATTGATCACTTTTGTGTACTTACAGGGAAAACCCAGTGGAGATTAGAAATAAAGTGACATTTTGGGGAGGGCAGGGAAGAAGAAATAAAAGAGATCAAGATGAGATATGTACGTGTAGCATGAATGTATTGATTATATACATATTAAAAAAGGAAAAAAAATTGAAGGTAAAACAAAACCAAAAGACAAAGAAATAAACTGAAGTTTTAACACTAAAACATGAACTACAGGGTTGTCATCATTTCTCGGTGATTCTACCTTCAGCAACCCAAGCCCGATGGGCCCTGCATAGGGGACGCCCCGCGGGTGGACCCCTCATTGCTGTTGCGGGGACACCGGCCTCGCAGGCCCAGAGTACAAAACGCGATGAAAACTTTACAGGACCTCGCCTCGGTGTCTGCTGCCCCCGCGCGGTCGCATTGCAGTACTGCACCCGCGGGGCCCCGTGGCTGGCAGGACTCAGGAGGCGACTGGGGTCCTGGGCTTGGGCGTTGATCTCCATTCACGGAGGGGCCCGGGGAGTGGATAAGCTTTGTGCAAAGCAGTGATAACTGAGTTATCCCAGCCTGTCCTCTCTGTCACCCTCCAAGGTCGCAGAGATGACCTTAACCTAGTGCTGTGGGACAGAGAAAGGGGCGAGACAGGCCCGGCCTGGGCGTGGGACGGCTACCAGGTGAGGGATCTAAGTCGGGTTGATGGGGGGCCCCTGTCACCGCCTGCAGGGCCCTTGGCCTGGGTGGGGCTCAGGGGCAGGCGAGACTCCTGGCCCGTGATCTCAGAGAAGGCTGGGAGGGGAGGGGACAGGGTGACGCTGAGGCTTCGCTGGTGGGACCGCAGGGCTGGGACTGCAGCTCCTGGGCTTGGTTGCAGGGTCCTGAGCGGGCTTTAAGGGTCGGGCTTCGCAGACCTCCCTGTGTTTCTCCTGTCTCCTCTTCCGCTGGCCACCAGGGGGCAGCACGCCACGCGCCCTTGGCCCAAGCCTCCTGCGGACCCTTGACCCCGCTGCCTTGCCTCACCTGCCCTGTTCGTTCCTCGGCTAGGATGCAGCCCTGAGTCTTTGTGTTTCAGCGCGTCTTGCAGATGACACACATGAATGGCCCTTTGTCCAGGCTATCTATCAAACCACCGTGGAAGGCAAGGAGTCTCCCCTGAGGCCAAAGCAGCGGGCTTCCTGTCCGTCATAAAGATTTGCAGCTGGTAGTGAGGTGGTGCATGTCTGTAATCCCAGTGCTCTGGGAGGCTGAGGCAGGACGATGCCAAGTCTGAGCTCAGCCTGGGCAACTCCACTCTGATGAGGGAGCTTTGAAAGTGTTTTGTGTTATATTTTATTTTCTCTTGCCTCCGCCTCCGTTCCTATACTTCCCTAGGGTGGGTGCTTCTGAGGTGTGCTCTGGTCTGTTTCCCCGGGGTCCCCAGCCAGACTGAGCTCCAGTTGCCCAGTCATGGATTCACCCCCGAATCATGTTTCTCACCCCGCCTCTGCATGCCGGGTCCCCTCCACAGTGAGTGTGCCCTGAGCTCCTGCCCAGGGCCCTGTGCGGAAGGAGCCTGGGAACACTCTGCTCTGAATGGGGCAGGACCTTCGCTCCCAGGCCCAGGAGGGGCCAGGGAAAGGGCACTTCTGCAGCAGCTGGGTCCCCACGGTAACCTGGCCCCGCCCCACGGCGTCTGTGAGGTCACCTGGCTTTGGCCAGGCGGAAGGAGGCCAGACATGGAGGCCACTGCCCAGGGCCGAGCTGGCCTCCCAGAGGTCCTGCTGCAGGGCGCCCGGCTCTGGGCGCTGGTAAGTGAGCATGCCGCTGGGGACAGGCGTGGGGCCAGCCGGAGCGCCCCCCCAGCTGCTGGGCCCCGAGGAACCATCAGACCCCAAACCACGGGGCCAGTATTTCCCTTGCAGACGGTCACTCTGTGGCTTACGCTTTGCCCTTCCCAGCTGTGTTTCCAAAGACACAGATTTCCTGTGGTTGGGAGCCGAACCTCAAATCCCACCCCCGAACTGGGCTGAGTCACCAAGACATGGTCCTGGTGTTTGTTTCTGTGGGACAGAAAGGAGAGATAAACTGTGCATGGTGGCTCAGGCCTGTGACCCCAGCACTATGGAAGGCTGAGGCAGGAGGATCACAGGTTTGAGTCCAGCCAGAGCAATTAAGAGAGACACTGTCACAACAAAAGGCGGGGGTTGGGGCTCAGTGCAAAGGCTCTGGATTTAATCTCCTGGCTTGGCATCCTGGCTGTGCCATTCCTTTTTTTTTTGGTACTGGGAATTGAACTCAGGACCTTGCACTTGCCAGGCTGGCACTGTGCCACTGAGCTATATCCCTGGCCTACAATTCCTTTTTTTTTGGTTTTTTGAGACAGGGTCTTGCTGTATAGTTCAGGCTGGCTTTGAACTCCCTATGTAGCCCCAGTCTGGCCTTGAACTCAGAGATCCTCCTGCCTCAGCCTCCCGAGTGCTGGGATTACAGGCGTGTGCCACCACGCCCAGCATTTTGCCATTCTTTAGCTTCGTGACTTTGGACAAACAACTCCCCTCTGAGTGTTTCCTGTCCTATAAAACTGATCTGGCAGGGTCACGTGGGCTCTACCCTTGTCCTTCCTCCCTGTCTCAGCGTCCTGAGCCAGGCTGTGTGCTCCTACTTGCACCCCATTCCTGCCCTCCTCCTGGACCCCTCGATCTCCTTCCTTCTGGCTGGGCCCTTCCCTCTTGGCCCTGCCAGCCAGGCCCGTGAGGGGGCAAGCAGCCAGCCCCCGACCCCTCAAAGTCTTTCAGAGCCCAGGTGGGGGCCCTGGGTGACGCCAGTGTCCGCTTCTCCCCAGCTGGTCCAGAACCGCGTGCACCTGTACAGGCTCCTGCTGCTGAAGATCGCCCTCTTCCGCGGCTGGGTGGTGGGGCTGTCCCAGGAGGCCCGGGGCCCCGGCTACACGCCCACCGACCAGCCCCCCGGGGACGCTGCCTGTGCCCTGGGCCGGACTCTGCGGGTGGGGCTGGCGCTGCTGCTCTGTGGACCCCGGCTGGCCGGGACGGCCGGGCTGGGCCTGTGTGTGGCCGCCTGGCGGGGCCTGCTCCGGTCCTGTCTGCACAGCCTGACGCTGGTGGCCTTGCTGTCATTGCTGCTGGCCTGGAGGCTCTTCCGGAAAGCCCAGTGCTTCCTGGGCTGGCTGCCCCGCCAGGTGGGTGGGCAGAGGCCACCAGACTACGGAGGGTGGGCCTGGGGCCCTGGGGCTCCTGAGGTCACCTTATTGTCCCCACGCCCGCCCCACCCAGGCCCTACTGGGGAGCCGCGTGGTGCTCAAGCTCCTGGTGCTCCCGAGACATCTGTGCTGGCACCTGGCCTACCTCATCACCTGGACCACCTGCCTGGCCTCCCACCTGCTGCAGGCGGCTTTTGAGCACACAACCCAGCTGGCCCAGGCTCAGGGGCCCTCAGCGTCCTTGTCCAGTTCCCTGCTCCCTGCCTTGTCCTCTGCCTTCGAGGGTCAGGTCCTCCTGCAGGAGCCTGGGAGTCCTGGACAATAAATGTTTCCCATCATCCTCTCCCGGAGTGGGCGGGTCTCTGGCCTCATTGCCTGCCTCCTGCTGGGCTGGAGGGATGTGTGTGCCTGTGTGCACGCAGGAGGCTTGGGTACACGCACACATCTCCACGGCTGCTCTGGGAAGGAAATCACACTCTCTATGCACCTCCCGGGTGCCATGTAGCAACCATCTCAGATGCTTTGGACATCATTTATTTTATTTTATTTTATTTTTGTCTTTTTGAGACAAGGTCTCGCTATGCAGTTCAGGCTGGCCTTGAGCTCACTTATGTAGCCCAGGTTGATGTGGAATTCGCAAAGCTCCTCCTGCCTCAGGCTCCCGAGTGCTGGGATTATAGGCGTGCGCCCGGCCTCATCATTTGGTTTAAGCCTAGCAACGCAGGCCTCTGGCTTGATGGGCTGCATTTTACAGATGAGCAGATAGGGCCTTACAGTGGAACTTTCCCAGGGTCACAGAGCAAATCAAGGGCAGGCTCAGCCCCCATCTCCTGTATGGCGTTTCCCAGAACCCTGCCTTTGTTGCAGTCCACGCCCCTGGTTCTCACTGGTGCTGCTCAGTTTAGGGGAGATGGTCAATTGGAGACTCTGGCCTCCGGGGGGTGCCAGGGCCTCACATTTCACAATGTAGAAAATTCGTCTGAGCAGTTACTTGTGAGCAAGCTTGCAGCTAGGCCATCTGTTCATCCACACACAGCCACTCGTCCAGTGATCCACCCACTTCCAACCCACCCACAGAACCATCCACCCGTCCATCCATCACCCATCCATCCATCGTCCATCCCCAGATTATCCACAAAACAAACTATCCATCTAACCACCAATCCGTCCATCCTCAACTATCCACAAACCATCCATCTATCCCTAAACTATCCACAGATCCACAGAACCAACCATCCATCCATCCATCCCAACTATGCCCAGAACCATCCATCCATTCACCCCCGAATCTTGCCGCACCACCCCCTTCCCTAAGAGTGTGGAAGCGTGGGCAGTATCTCCACACTCTCGCTTCCCTGTGAGCCAGGACAGTATCCAGCTGGGGAGCAGTGGCAGGTCCTCGGCCTCAGCCCCTCAAGGGATTCTACAACGGCACCATCCCCCTCCCCTCCTGGCCCAGAGGTGGGGGCCGGAGCGACCAGGCACTGGGCAGGAGGAGGGACTGTGTGGGTGGTGGTGATGACTTCCCCATGCATATGGTGTTGTAGTCCTGGCCGTCCTTGCTGGTCTGTGCCCTGGGCAGGGCCCAGGCTGGCTTCCAGGATACAGGAAGACACCCCGAGTCCTCTGGATGGGCCTCACCCGGAGAGCTGGGACCTCCAAGCAAGGGGCGCAGCTGTGGCCCCAGGAGTAGTGCTGCTTCCCTGTGTGATCCTGTCGGGCCTCAGTTTCCATGCATGTGTAGTGTGGGGTGGGCGGGTGACCCCCGGTGAGATACACCAAGGGGGAGCTCAGTGCTCAGCCCGTGCTCCTGAATGTGCCAGGGGGCAATGGCTTGGGCAGGAGCCTGCTTTGTGCAGCCCTGTCACAGGGGTCTTGCGCTAGTTGAGCTGAGACCTCTCCCGGACCTCCACTAGCACTTTTATTTTTGCATTACTGATAATTGAGCCTAGGTCCTTCCCACTGAACTATATCCCATGCCTATTTTTTTAAAGTTTTGAGACAGGGTCTCACTAAGTCATTAAGTTGCCCGGGTGGGCTTGAATTTGAGATCCTCCTGCCTCAGCCTCCCAGAGTGCTGGAATGACAGGTGTTCCCAGCTTAGGGCCTTGGCATCCCGGGGCCAGGATTTGGGAGGAAGGACAGAATCTGCCTTCAGGTGTTCCTCAGGACAGCGGGCCGAGCTGAGACCGTGGGGTCCGGAGGTATTGGGCTTTGATCCTGGGCCCACAGCCTCTCAGCTATGTGGCCTGGACAGGTCGCAGTACTAACCCTGGGAGCCTCAGTTTCCCTGGCTGTGAACAGGACACAGTCCCAGCACCTGGGGCCATTCAGAGATGCTATCAGGTCTGCTGGGGCTGGCGTAGGAGGCCCTGGCCAGGACCCCAAAGCCCTTGGTGTCCCTCCCAGACTTCCCACCCTCCAGGGGCCGAGGCCGGGCAGGGGGCGGGGGCGGTCAGCGCGGCCGTGTCAGGCCTGTGAGTGTGGAGCGGGCCTGGCCTGCTGGGGGTGGGGGGCTGGCAGGCCGGCCAGCGGCTCCACGCAATCTGTCTGCTATGCAGCCCGGGCCTGGCCTGTATTTATTTATGCTGAGCGTATATTTATATCAGCTCCTTTCTCATTAATAGGGCAGGAAATGGCAGGAATTGTTACATACCTGGCGGCCCAGGGGTCCCGCCTGGCCAAGACACACAGGGCCCTGGCTGCCCCACCATGGTGTCGAGGGGCCCCCTCCTTGGTCCTTGACCCTTCGCTGATCCCCGGCTCCCGACCCCATCCGACCCCAAGGACGGCCGAGTGTTAGGAGCCGCTCGGGGCAGACTGGAGCAAGGGAGCCCCAGGCGGAGCGGTGGGAACTGGGGGGTAAGGCACCAGGGCCCCCGGATTTAGGGCCGAGACCCTGGCATCCTGGGGTGGAGGCTCCTTCCGGAGCAGGAAGTCTGGAGACAGGAGGCCCCCTCTGAGGCTGGGGGTGGTCCCTGGGGACAGCGTCTTCCAAGGGGCGCGGGGGGCTCAGTGTCCCCCGGCCTCCCTCATCCTCTGCCCCGTCCCCCGCTCAGAACCACGCCAGCCTCTCTCTGCCTCCCTCTCTCTCTGTCTGTCTCCAGGCCTGACTCTTGGGCCTGGCCCCAGGTGGGGCTGCCAGAGCAGAGAGGCGCGGCCCCCTCCCCAGGGCGCTCGCCTGACATAACCTGTGCATGCTTCCCGCCTCAGCCATCCCTGCCAGCCTCCCCACCCAGCCCAGGCTGCGCGGCCTGGACGGGGTCAGAAGGAGCACGGGGCACCCACGGTGCTCGGGGTCACCCACCCTCTCAGCAGAGGCCCAGGGCCTGCTGTTCCCAGGGGGCCTCTGTGGGCCTCAGGCTCCTGTGGCTGGGTGGGCTTGACCTCTGACCTGTGACCTCTGCTAGCGCTGTGACCTGCAGGCTTCAGAGTCCTCTCAGAGAGAAGTGGGATCTGGTGCGGAATCTGGGAGCGGCCGGCCCCGGGCAGCTCCTGGGACTGAGGGGGCTGTGAGGCTGGAGGGTCTGAGACCCTGCCCAAGGCCGATCCATGCCTGAGTTTCTGGGCACCTTCCAGGGACTCCTACCTGGCCGCGTGGGAGGAGGCGGTTAGGGCTGAAGGCACATCCTCCGAACCCCTGGGGCAGGACCCTGCCTCCTCCTGCCCCTGCTCCCACCACCTGCAGAGTCGGGGCAGAGCCACTGCCTCCTGCCAGGGTGAGGGCGTCAGGTCCTCCACCCTGTGGTCTGAGGGTGGGGCGAGGAAGGGGGACCCCAGCCCTCTGCTCCCCTCAGAACCACTGCCCGTGTCTGGCTGTGTGGCCCTGGCTCTGTTCCTGCTCTACAGTGAGGGCCCTTCCTGGCTCTGCTGGCTTCTGAGTCTGAGTTTTTGGGTCATTTTTGGTTTTTTTCTTCTTTTGCAGTACTGGGGATTGAACCCAGGGCCCTGAACCCCCTTTTTGGAGATAGTCTCTCTATGCAGTTCAGGTTGGCCTCTGCCTCTTGAGTGCTGGGATCATGGTGGCGTGTGCCACCATGCCCAAAGCCTTTTCACTGAGCCCTTTTCTATTTTGAGACAGGGTCTTGCTAAGTCACTAAATTGCCAGGGTGGGCTGGAACTTGTGATCCTCCTGCTTCAGTCTCCCAGAGTGCTGGGGTTACAGGTGTGTGCCACCACTCCTAGCCTGAGTCCGGGTTTGGGTGAACTTTGAACCCCTCTTGGCCCAGGGGCTGGTGGGCTGTGAGCAGGGATGCTGGGGAGGGCCTCTGGTCTGAGTAGAGCGGGGAGCCCCCAGGCCCCGGCCCTGCAGCTGGGCCCTGCGGCCGTCCTGCTACACCACACACATCTGGAGTGTGTTCCCCTCTCAGCCCAGGTCCACATCTGGAGACCAAAGCCGGCTTGCCGGCGAAGCAGAGCATCTGGACCCCGAAGAGCAGTGGCTGGGTTAGCGCGGCGCATCTGGGCCCCTGGCTGTGCTCCGCCCATCCCCCGCTGCTGCGGAGGGTGCTGGCTGCACATCTGGAGGGCTGGAGCCGGGCCGGCCACTGGCGGCCGCTCCGCCTGGGGTCCTAGCCTGAGGCAGGGGTCCCGAGTGCAGCTCGCTCTCCGGGCTGCGGATGACACTGGTCTCAGCACCCCTCCCAGGGCAGCCTTGGCAACAGCTTCGTGTTGACCTGTGCTGGACACGTGGCCCCTGCCCTAAGTGCTGACAGCTGTCACTCCGCACCAGCCCACCCAGCAGCAGCCTGCTGGCCTCACTTGAAAGAGCCTGGGGACCCCCTGGATGGCTAGCCTGCATCCCGTCCTGGGGAGCCCCGGGCGCTGCAGGGGGCGCTACCCGCTGTACGAGGTGGGGGTGGGGGGAGCCCACCTCCTTCCCTTCCTGGAGCGCCCCTCCCCCTTCCCTCCTGATCAGCACCTGTGCTTGGCAGGATGGAGCTGGATGTCACCCAGAGGCCGCAGAACGGGAGAAGAGGGACCTGGGTGGACGTGGGGAGAAGCAGCCCAGGGCAGAGACCCGCAGGAAGTGCCCAGGGGTGCCCTTGACTCACTCCTCTTGGTGGGCTGAGATCCCCTTAGACCTCGAGGGGCACACGTGACCTCCATGAGGGAATGCGCGTGGGAGTCTGAGGTCATCGGCCCTCTGTGGTAGTGAGCTCCCCATCATGGGGCGATCCAAGCTGGCGCGGCTGCTCTGTGTCAGGAATGTGGCAGAGATCCTTCCCGCAGGGAGCTGGGGCCGTTAGACAAGCCCTGGCGCTGTGCTGAAGCCCCACGTTTCCACGATTCTAGGGTTCTGTGCCGCGGCCTCCTGGAGCTTGGGCCTGTGATGAAAGAAGGCTGAGGCGGGGCGGGCTGGCGGCCAGACGCTCGGCATGCGGGGTGGCTGGGTGTGAGGGGTGCGGAGGAAGCGGCCCGCAGCCCGGGCACCTGAGGCCTCTGCAGCTGGGCCTCCGCTCCGCGGCTGCACGAGGCCGGGGCTGTGCCCTCGGAGCCCGGCTCGTCCGCATCCTGCCTTCCAGCCTTATCGCAGCATCACTGGCCGGGCGGAACGGAATCCTGCGCTGCTGAACCTCCTGCCCGGGGCCTGGAGCGGCAGGCAGCAGAAACCGCAGCGCTGCGTGCCCCCCTCTCTGCCTCCCTGCTGCGGAAAATGTGAGTCAACACTGTGCAGGCTGGAGACACAAATACCGAATAAACAGGGAGCGTACTGATGGAGGCCTCTCTGGGCCAGATGCCCCGCTGAGGGCTTCACTGGGTCAACTCATTCCAGCCGTCCTATGCGAAGAACTGTGGCCATCAGCAGCCCATTTCACAGATGAAGAAACTGAGGCTCAAGGGCTAGGATTCAAAGCAGGCAGCACAATGAAGCCTGTGATGTTCACCCTGCCCCTGCTGCCTCAGGCCTCCAAGAGCTCAGCCTGGCGTCCCCGTGCCCTGGCTGTCGCCATCTTCAGCCTGGCCCTGGGGGGAGGCTGGGATGACAGGTAGAAGAGCAGAGAGCCCCTGCAAGCTGGAGTGGGGAAGGTACCAGGTCACAGGGCATCCTGGGGGTCCTGGGGGCAGGGGGCACAGTACGGATGAGAGAGTACATGGGCCATACTTCCCAGGGTGCTCTGGCCTGGCCTGGCTGGGGAGGCTGAGGCAGGAAGGAGTGACACAGGTCCCTCCTGCACTCCCAGAGGTCTCGGCTGTCCTGGGTGCTCAGGCTGAGGAGCTCAGGTAGAGGCCTGGAGGCCGAGATGAACTTGACTTTGGGCTGTGGTCCTAGCCTGGGAGGATGTGTCCTGCCCGAGTCCCGGGGACAGGAGACTGGTCCTCCAGGTAGCTTTGACAATCTAGCTCACCCAGGGCTGTCACCAGGGCCTTGACTGGTGGGATGACGGGGTCCTGGCCTGGGCTGAGGTTTCTTTTATTTGTTTATTTATTGGTACCGGGAATTGAACTCAGCACCTTGCGCCTGCCGGGCAGGAGCTATATCCCCAGCCGAGGTTTCCTGATGTGCTCTGAGCAGTCAGGTTTGCTAAGAGAAGCCAAGGCTGTGGGTTCTGCCTTCCAGTCTCACTGGGGTGGCCCTAGCCTGCTCCATTCGGGTCCCCATGGGTCACCACTAGTGTCCCCACAGCCAACCCAACCCCAGGCAGAGGAGAGGGGCTCAGGAAGGCGGAGTCCTGGCCTCCACCCCGGCCAGCCTGGGGCGGTGGGGACAGCCCCCTGCTGCTTCCATTCTCTGAGCCTGGGGTGCATTGGGGCAGAGGGTGTGGACCCTTCTTTCAACCCGAAGCTTCTTCTGGAAGTCCCGGTGCCAGGCCCTGGGTCAGAGTGCAGGAGAGCTTGCTTGGCTTGAGTTCTGCTATCAGCAGGCCTGGTGTGTGGGGTCACTCACAACCTACCCCCGGCCTCAGTTTCCCCCTCGGAGGAATGGGCTGAACTTGACACACTGACCGACTTTCCAGCTCTTGCCTTGGTCTCCCAAAGCTGCGGTGTCCCTGGCTGGTCACCGAGCTGTGACTGTGCCAGGTTCTTAGCAGACCTGTCTCCTGGTCCGGGCCCAGCGAACCTTGCTCTCAGCCAAGCCCCCTGGGACTTGTTAGGAGCCCAGAGAGAGAGGGGCTCCCCGCCTGGCCTCGCACACTCTCCAAGCCCTGCGCCTGCGAGTTTACTGGGGGATAAACTCTCCCAAACAAATCAGGTCAGTCAACAAACAGGCGACCAAAACAACAGGGAAGGATTACGAAACCCAGATGGAGGGAAAGAGGCCACCAGAAGCCTCTCTCCAGGACAAGCGGCGGGGAAATGGGGCCAGGCCCGTAGGTCGGAGCCTGTTTGGCCGGGACTATTTTTGTCCTGTCTGGGGGGTGGGCGCTGATGAAATCCCCACTGCTTTTCCCAAAACACTTTCCCCTCCATGTGGCTCAGACTCACTGTCACTTAACTCATCACTCAAGGCCTGGAGCCGCGGCCCTGCCCCTCCAAGAAAAAGAAAAACATACGGCGTCCGGCACGCGGGCGGGTGAGGTGGGCGTGAGGGCCCGTGACAGACAGGCTGGCTGCCGTGACCTCGGCTGCCCCCGCGGCCTCCGCCCATCTCAGCCCCAGCGTCCTCCGAGGCCAGCAGGACCGGCCACTGCCCAGCCCACCTGGGACCAAGCTGGCAGCCTGGGGTCACCAGCATCTTCCCCTCCACTCCTCACTCCTGGAAGCTCCTCGGTCCCGAAGGTCAGCACACAGGGACGCGCAGGGGGCCCCCGGTGTCACGGGGAGTGTGTGTGCACCCCAGCAAGGAGGGGACCATCTTCTGCTCTTTGTGAATGCGGGCTTCCACCGGCCTCTGTCACCTCAGTGGGACAAATCAGACTGGGCAGGGCAGCCGGGTGGGGAGACGCCAGAGGACCTTTGAGTTTTCATCAGCTGGGAACAGCCAGGTGCATGGGGACACAGGCCTGTCACCCCAGCACTCTGGGAGGCTGAAGCAGGAGGATTGCCAAGTTCCAGCCCAGCCCAGGCAGCTTAGCAACCTAGAGAGAGTCTCAAAAGAGGAAAGGGGCTGGGGAGGTATCTGCGTGCAAAGGCTCTGGGTTTCATCCCAAGTCCTGCAAAAATAAAAACAACTGCAGGGATGGGGACCTCTGGTTTTATAAACTGCCCGAGCCTTCCGTGTGAGGGTGTCACAGCCGCGCTGTGGCGGGGGTGGGCATCTCCACTTCTGCACCTGTGTCTGGGCCTTAGCTTGGCTAACTCAAAGCTGGCGCTCCTCAGGGAGAGCCGGCGGGGGACAGGGTGGCTCCTCGGGCTCCCTGGTGCCCCTCTCTTCTTAGGCTGGGAGTCTCTCAAGGGCCCCTCGAGGGCCTGCGCCCCCCGGCCCAAAGAGCCGAGTGCTTGCTGTGTGAATGAATACCCTTTCCAATCTCGTCGAAGTGCTACTTTTATTATCTCTGGACCAGATTAACCGGGGGTCATTGGCTCTCATAAATGCTGACAATGTGGGGTTTGCATCTTTCACTGCTGGGGACAGGACCCCTGTTCTGAATCAGCCAGGAAGGCTCTACCCTCCCCTGTCCTTCACCCTCATGGACCCCTTGGGGTTTGGTAACCTCCTGCTGGGCTGCCCCTCCAGCCTCCGTCTACACAGGGTGGAGCCCCGGAGCTGGCCTTCCTGGGCAGGGCTGGGCAGTTCCTGGAGCGCGGGGCTGTTTGGGTACAAACATTTCCCTGTATTGTCCTCCTTCTTGAGGCAGCCAGGCGTTGAGCGGGAGGGAGGGTGCTGTAGTGATGTTTTCTGTCCTCACCCCAAAAAGGACCAGAGCCCCTGAGGCCCTGGGACTGCAGAAGCAGTGGGGGGTGCCCAGCTGGGTAGGGTTGGGGTCAGCTGTAGGTACGAGTAGGCCTGGGAATTTGAGTGCAGCAAAGGACAGGGCTGGACTTCGGGGGCAGATCGGGGGGAAGCCGGGAGATTCCCGTCCCTCCTTGCTGGCTGGAGGGATATGGGGCCAGCCTCCTGCCCAGCTGAGGAAGTTTGTCCCTCCTTCTAGGCTCCTTCCCGACACCTTTCTAAGGACAGTGGCTGCAGGATGGGGTCTCCTAGAGGTTGAGAGGGAGACGTCCATCCTCCTGCCTCAGCCTCCTGAGCGCGGGGATTATAGGCGTGCACCACTATCCCCAGCTAACCCTGGGCTTTGTGGACTTGGAACATCAAGTCACTGGGCAGAGGTGGTGGCTGTGGGTAAAATGCGTCGCTTTTTATGTTGAGCGTTTGGTATCGAGTGGTGTTGACCACACGACGCTGCGGGTGCTGAGCTAGTGTGGAGATGCGGCCACACGATTTGTCCTCTCTCCCTAGGCCCCAAAGGGATCTGGGACAAGGAGGTTAGACCGACCTTGTCCGTGTCTCTAACTTGTTCTGGAAACCCGAGCCAGAGTTAGGTCACCTGTGGCCAGTGCTGGGCGAGACCCAGGCAGCTGGGAAGTCGTCCAGCGGCTCTGCAGTTCTGGAACGGGCGATCGGGCTTCAAGGAGGGATCCGATTCCAAGACGAGGCTTCTGGGTTGAGTCAACACGACTCAGAACAAGCTGGGCTCTCACCCTGCAGCTTCCTGTCACCTCCCCACAGCTGGTGTCCCCGGGCCCCGCGGGCGGGCTCAGCCCTGTGTCAGACTCTGGGTCCCGGGCTGGCTGGAATGAGGGATTTCTGGAGGCCCCCAGAGCAGTGCTCAGGTGATTGGCATCCGGGCCGGTGCGCAGTTCTAAGGACGGAGGCTCAGCCTGGCTCCCAGGACCTCCGGTCACGTCCTCCGCTGCGTGGTCGCGCCCTGAACCCCTTTGCCTGATGCCGGCCTTCCCTAGCTCTACCCTCCCGTTGGGTTGCACCCCGTGTTGCCCTGGAGCGCTCCTGCCATCAGCTTGGGCTGGTCCCCTTTTGAGTCTGGCTGAGCCCCGGCCCCACCTGCTGGAGGCTGTCCTTGCAGGGCCAGGTGTCTGAGCACCTGCTCTTTCTCAGAGGGCACCGAGTTCAGGGTTCTTCTGCCCCCAAGTGCAGCCCTCTGCTCTCCAGAGGGCTTGGGTACCCTATGGGCAGGAAGGAAGCATCCTCCCCGGGTCTGGGGCTAAAACCACGCCGGCCTGCAATGCACACACCCGTTGCCCATTCATTCAGTGAGGTAAGTACTTCTAGTGACGTTTGCTAAGCTGACTGTGGTTGCACCCTAGGTCATAGTTCTCAGACCTGAACCGATTCCCCCCGGACGGCTTGTCACCGCAGATCGCCTGCCCAGCCCCGGGCTTCCTGAGTGACGAGTTCCGGGTGATGCTGAGGCACTGCCCCGGGGACCACGATCTGAGAGTGTTTGCTGTGAGCAAGGATCAGCTCCTAACCCTGGGCCACTGAATCCAGGCGTCTGCACAGGGCAAGGCTTACAGAAGTGCCTGGATCTGGGGCCGGGGGCAGATGGGACGGGGTGGGGGGCAGATGGAGGCCCATCGAGGTGGTTGGGGACAGGGAGGCCCGGCCAGGCCTGGGGTTAGGGTCTGGGACAGGAGAGACGCAGTCTGAGGAAGTCTGGGGTGGTGCCGAGGCAGACTGGGCCGCAGCCCAGCGCACCTGACCCCGTGGCTGGGAACAATGGCCGGGCCGGCGCTGGCTGGCCGGCTGCCACCGCACATCCCTGTGTTCCTTCCCAGCTCCCGTCTCCCAAGCCCGCCTGGCCTGCACGCCTTCTGGGGCGGTGCATCGCAGCGCTGGCCCGGACGGCGCATTCCTGCCTGCTGATCGCTTCCCGCCACCGCGGTGCGGCTGGGCCGCGTGCTCGTTCTCACGCTGCGGCGCTGCGGGGCAGGCAGAGGCTGCCTGGGACCCAGGCCCCTGCCAGTGACCACGGAGGGTGCCCCTCAGGCTGGGGGGGGGGCCCGGGACTCAGCCAGGTCTTATTCTTATGCCCACACCCCCGCCCTTGCATCTGCAGCGAGTAGGGGAGGCCACGCTGCACCCCACATGGGCTATGCCCTGGTGGAGGAGGGGGCTTTGTGGTCCTGTCCCCTCCCCTGGGTCTGTCCTCCTTTTCTTGCAAAACCTGTGAGGGTCCATGTCCTCCGGGACAGCCCTGCCCAGCCCCTTTCACCTGTGCATACAGAGGGACCAGGCTGTGACCAGCTCTGACAAACCCTCAAGGGCTGGTGCTGGTGGGGACACAACGTACCGGTGAATTCTCCCCCCTCCCCACCGCTCCTCCCTCCCAGGACCTGGGTGGCCTCAGTGTCCCAAGGGCCTGTGACCCACCTGACCGCAGAGGGGCTGGTGCTCGTGTCCCGCTGGGCCCCCCCTTGGGGTCAGGTTCAGCCTGGGGTTGGGATCGGGGTGTTTTGGAGTCCAAGTGAGAGGTTAGTCTGGGCTGAGGCTCAAGGCTGGTGTCAGACGGGACAACGCAGCGTGTGCTGGGGGCGGCTCCTTGTGCGGAGCTGGTGGGGACAGGCCCGTGTGGAAGGCGGCCCCTGCCCCCTCCCTCTTGTATCTGTGCCCCTGACTGCAGCCCACACCAGCTGGTCTCTGACCCTGAAGGCTCACAGAGCAGGACGAGGGCTGCTCCATCACTTGCCGGGTGGGACGTGGCCCGGGGGGTGGGTGGCCTTAGCCAGGACAGCGTTCCCTGCCCTGCAGTGGCTAATCGTGGCGCTCCGTCATCATGTCCCTGAGGAGGAGCCTGGACCTGCGTGGGTGTGGCTTTACTACTGGGGGCTCAGACTTGGGGCCGCACGAGGGCGCAGGCATCCACGCAGGACGCAAATGCCCCCCAGCTCCTGCCCTGTCTCCAGCAGGGCCCCCAAGCTGCCCCTAGGAGCTGTGCGCATGGGCGGCAGGTCCCAGGCGCGGGTGGCGCTTGGCCCTGGGTTCCTCTCCCGCTCGCTCAGCTCAGCCCCCGAGTCTGGCCTCGTCCTGTCAAAGCCGCAGACACAAAAGAGAACCGGATTGACGTCAGGAGGGCGCCCACGGAGCCTCTGTCTCTCCCAGAAGTTTGGCTCTGGTGTCCCACACCGGATGTCTGTGGTTTTTAAAAGGTGAAAATGGCCCCTGGCCCTCCTTCTGCGTCTCCACCAAAACCTGGCCAAGTGGAAGGTGGGCTCTGGGGCCCCTGGTCTCCCCTGGTTCCCACCTGCATGCAGACCTCTCCTTCCGCGCCCTCCCTTCTATGCCTGGCAGCTCCTGGCCCCTGGCCCTCCTGTCCTCCTTTTCTGCTGACCGAGGCTCCTGGGTTGCCCTGGGTTTGCCTGGCTCATGGATCTCACCCTTCTGCTGGAGCCTCAGGCCCTGCCTTGCTCCCTTCTGTGGCCCCCACACCCATCCCAGGGCCTGGCACATAGTAAGTGCTCAGTAAACCTCCCTGGGTCAGGGTGGATGGATTTCTCCAACTTCACTTGCACTTTGCCCCCCAATTTGCCGATGCCCACTTCCTGACAACCCTCCTGTGGCTGCTGGGAGGGGCCGGGAGGGGGCAGGAGAGGCTGCTTCTTGGGAGAGGCTGCTCGTCAGGCCCTCGGTCAGCGTGACCTGCCCCGGCCGGAGCGTGGACTCTCTGTACGTACGGAGGATTGGGTAGCCGGATTGCTCAGGGTCAGCACAGGGGCAGCAGGAACGTCTTGCCCCTTGCTGCCTGCCCCGGGGGCCAGGGCCTTCTTGTGCCCTGGGGGAAAGGGTGTACAGAGAGGACTGAGGCCAGCTCCTCCCCTGACCCTTTCAGCTTCTACAGTGACCTCACGGTCACTGCTGGACTTGGGCTCTATGGTCGTCCGGATATACAGACAGCCCCTTCCCTGGGCTGGCGTCACCCACATCAGGGTCACTCTGACCGTGGCCTTGGTTATTCATCTTTAGGACTGAGTCTAGGCTGCAGTCACTGGCCACCCCTGGACACTTCCTCTCCCCTGTCCTTCCCCGCCCCTCCAGCCCCTGCAGCTCCAAACCTTGTCCCTGGCCCCATCGGGCCTTGGGGCCCACTCCGCCAGCAGGAACCTGTCTGCTGCCCTGGGCCCTCCTCAGGTACCTCGCCAGGTACCCCGCTAGGATTGGGGGTCTCCCAGTGACGGTCAGGTCCAGGCTGTCCCAACCCAGTCCTCAGAGCACTGCCCCATGCGTGTCTGAGTTTCGAACCACTGCATGGCCAGGTGGGAGGTGACTTCCTTGTCCTATTGTATCTGAGACACCGTGGAGCCGGGGCAGGGGAAAGGACAGCTGTAAGGTCGCGTCGGCAGCTGGAGCTCACCCCGGTAGGCTTCTGCACAGTTCTCCTTACATGCATCTATTGCTACCTCTGCCGAGGGTCACCCGGGTGGGCTTCAGAGAAGTGGCCAGGCTTCCCTCGCTCTCACAGCCCTCTGAGCCCCGGTTGCCGACTGTTTCCTGCTGCCCTCTGACTGCCTCTCTCTCTCTCTGTCTCTCCCTCTGTCTGTCTTTCTGTCTCTCTGTCTCTCCCAGTTTGCCCACACGTTGAGGGAAGGCAGTGAACTTGCTGGCTTCCGAGGCACAGCTGTGGAATTAGGCTTTGTTGGGGAGGCCGAGCCAGGGTGTTGGTGGCCTTCTGCTGCCAGCACACGGTGTCACTGAAAGAGCTCAGGAACGGGGAGGTGTCGGTCCTGAGAATCCTGCCGCTGTCCCCAGTAACTGTGTGGTCTCCAACAAATCCCATCTGAGCCCCAGTTTCTTGTAAGACAGGGAAACCAGCCAGGTCCAGCTGCCTCCAGGGACCGTTAAATTCATCGTGGCTTTGAAGGTGTCTGCAAAGTTGGCCAGCAGCACGCAGGTGGAAACGCAGAACCCGTCCCTTGCAGCGCTGGGCCGGGCGGATGGCCGCGCAGGCGCCCTGCCCAGGGAACGTGGCAGGTGTCTGGACGCGACATCCCTAGGCGACTTGTGTGGGCAGCTTTCCCGGCAGCGGCAGCGTGTGCTCCATTCCCAGCCAGTCCCGCTGCCGGGGCAGGGACAGCCCCCCCTGCACATGGGAGGGGCCGGGGGCCACTTGGCACCGGCCCAGGTTGGCCGGCCTCCCACCGCATGTTTTGCTCGCAGAGTTTGGAATGTCCTGGGACGCAGCGCTCGGCTCCCTGGGGGACACGGTGGTGCCATCGCCTTGATCTCATTGCTGGACAGGTCTCTCCTTCATTCCAGCTCGGGACTCGGCAGGCTCCCAGCCACAGCTGCTGCCAGTCCCGGCCCGTCTGTGTCTGTCCCAGAGCTGGCAGCTTTGAGCCTGCAGCTGGGAGCCGGAGGGCTTCCCAGGGGAGGCTCCTCCAGCCGGTCTGCGTGGGCCCTGGCCGTGCTGCCAACCCGGACCCCCTCGAGTCCTCCCAGCTGCCTCCCGTCACGGCCTCCTTTGCCCGTGACCCCCTTTGCTGGGCCCCCGAGGGCTGCTTGGAATGATGTTCTCAGGACCCGAAGTCTCGGGACAGCCCAGAGCGTGCCAGCCGCCCTGATTCCTGTTCCCTCCAGCGGGACAGGCTCCGCACGGGGCGGGGCTCCTGCTCAGCGCTGTGGGGAGCTGGTGTCCGAGACGTAGCAAGATGCTTGCACGAGTATCGGAAACATGCCTAGACTTGGGAGAGACGTGCAGGGCAGATTCCTTGCGGGGTGATGTTGGAAGGAAGCCAGGATTCTTGCTCAAAAGGAGCCCCAGCTTTACCAGGCCAGTTCACAGCTCTGGTGCACCTGGCTCACGCCATCTTGCACTTTCTGGGCTGGCTGGGGACTCAGACCCTGAGCTGGTCCCACAGCTTGGGGCCCACCTGGCTGGAGAGAAGGGAAGTGCAGGTAGACCTGCTGTGTCAGAAATACGGAGAGCACATGTACATGAGTCCACATACACGTGGACTCTCGAAGGATCTTGGTCTTTGTTGGCTGGGGTACATACCCGCCTCCTACTCCACCCCTCTGGGGTGGACAGACAGTCATGCCCCCCGGGGCCCACCTGGCTAGCGTGCCAACAGGTTACTGTGGTTGTGCAAAGAGGAATCCTCTCGGGGTGGGTGGGGAACCGAGCCCCGGACAGTCCCCTGTGGTCTGTCCTCAGCTGGGGCAATCCCTGCCTGATGTAGGTCAGCGTCTACCCTGGGGATTCGGGCAAACTCTGTTCTTTCCACACCATTAATGAGGAGCCTAAATAAGTCAGTCCCTCTG